TAGTCGTCAACCACCAGCAGGAAGTAACGCTCGTGACCCTGTCCACGGACGCGGGCTGGGCCCCACACGTCCATGTGAAGAGTCTGCAGAGGGGCCTCAGTCGGAGGAAACGAGGAGGAGTGAGGAGCAGCGCGCTGCCGGCCCTCGACACAAGGAACACAGGTGGGGGCAGGCCCCGGAGGAAGGGGAGGGAGGGACCTGGGGAGTCCAGAGACAAGAGCACTGGAGGCCATACCTCGAAGACGAGGCAGGGAGGGGTGACCAAGGCAGTGGTGCCAAAGGAGAGTCTCGTGCGCCAGAGGACGACACGAGCAGGGGGCAGACGCAGGACTAGTCCTGGACGCGGCAGCAAACACCTGACTGGACGCAGCTACCTGACCAGACGCAGGGATCGGAGGAGGCGCAGTAGTCAGTGTGTACAGACTTGACCCTGGCCGACGGGTGAACGTGACCAGGTGGCGGCCCGTCCGAGAGCAAGTACAGTGGGTCACACGCTGACCTCCAGGGGTGAACTGGTCAACCCACGCGTCCTGGAGATCAGCTCCACTCACCAAGTTCGTAGAGAACGAGGGGAGGTGGAGTCCCGACAGCAAGCCCGACGGGGCCGCAGGACACGGTAGAACCGTGGAGGAGTGTGCAAGGACTGGGCCCCCGGAGGGGTCAGCAAGGGAGACCGCAACAGGCCGACTGAGCGGCGTGAGTGTGGTGCTGTCTCTAAAGAAAGTGCGCGAAGCACCAGAGTCAAGTGTGAAAGTGTGCAAGGACTCAGTAGGTGCAGTACCAGAGAGAGCAAACGCACCAGCACCTGGAGCAGCAGACGCACTAGTACCTGGAGCAGCAGACGCACTAGCACCTAGAGCAGCAGCCGCAATGCCCGGGTCGGGCGGGACACTCAGGTAACAGTCACCCTCAGCACTATCAGCAAGAGCATACATGGCAGCTAGGATAGCATCAAAGTCTAGATCAAAGATAGGCACATTCTGCAGAAGCAGATCATGCCAACGAGGAAGCTCAACGGCGTCAGGAAACTGGGTACGCCAAGCGTCAGTCAAGCGACCGAAGCAGCGCTACGTGGTGATTGGGAGCCCACACACCTCCCCACTACGAGTGCCGGTGCGAAGAACGTAAGTGCAGGGACCTGCACCCCCAGACCTCCCACTCCCAGCGTACCACTCACGAAGCTGCTGAACTGACGGGGTCTCACGGGTGCGCAGCTGCTGCTGGCGCTGGCTGCCACCAAAGCCTCCACGCTGCGCGGCTGCACCTCGACCAGCACCACCTCCTCTGCTACCTCCACCACCGCTGCCGCTGCCTCCACCTCCTCCGCCACCGCCGCCACGACCTCCACCGCCGCCACTGACGCCCCCACTCCCGGTACCACCCCCACCACCACCTCCACCTCCTCCGCCGCCTCCACCTCCTCCACTGCTTCCCCCGCCGCCCCCTCCACCACCCTTGCTCCCCTTGCCCTTGCTGGTGCGGCGTCTCCCGCTAGAGGCAGACGCAGTGCCGACCTCCTCAGTGCCAACGAGGTCGACAGCAGCAGCAGAAGCAACAGAGGGGAGAAGGGGGACAGGGGAACACCCCTCAAAGAAGGGGGTGCGACGGTCGCCGCGATAAGCACCTACAGCTAAGATACTCTTCTCAGCTGCAGCAAGGCGCTCCTCTAGCAGGTCGACAGTCAGCTCGGTGGGGCAAAGGGAGAGAAAGTGGTCCCAGACTGAAGAGAGAGAGTCAGGGAGGCGGGTGACTAGGTAGTACAGGGTGATGTACATGGGGGGGGGGTTCTTGGCACAGAACTCAGTGGGAAGGGCAGCGCGGTAGCGGGCGTCACTAGTGCGAAGGTGAGCAACTAGGTCAGCAACCGTGGCAAAGGCAGCAAGGTCAGGGAAAAGGTATGGTAGCATGAGGCGGCTGAGGGCAGCAGTGGCAGGGGAGGAGTAGCGTGCAACTACAGCGTCGTACAAAGACTGAGCAGTCTTGTACTGGCCAAAGTGCGCGCGCTCAGCAGGCGGTAGGTGACTACGAACAGCAAGACGAGCAACAGCGTCACGAGTGGTCCACTGCGAGCGAACAGTACTGTCGGCAGTGGCAGCAGGAGCAGTGGAAACACCGGACGTGTGATCGAAGAGGGACACCCCATCCCTAGAATCACACTGAAGGAAGAGCTGTAGGTCGTCAACCCACACGTCAAAATCAACTGCACGTCCCTCAGCATCAAAGGTGAGAACGGTAGGACTAGCCATAGCAGCAGTAGGAGCAGTAGCAAGAGTAGAAGCAGTAGCAGTAGTAGCAGCAGTAGAAACAATAGCAGCAGGGCAGTGCAAGGCAGTGCTGCTCAGTAGGGCAGTGCGGTTCGGTGGGTGCGGCGCGTCTCGGCTGGGCGGCGCGGCTCGGCTGGGCGACGCGGCTCGGCTGGGTGGCGCGGCTCGGCCGGGCGCCGCGGCTCGGCGGGGCGGCTCGGGTGCTTACCAGGAGCGGGTGCGGGGCCGGGCCTTGACAGCAGGGGCCGCAGCAGCAGGTGTCGCGCCAGCAGGGGAGGGGCCGCGACTGCAGGTGCCGTGTCAGCAGGGGCTGCGGCAGCAGGGGCCACTTCAGCAAGGGAGAGGCCGCAGGCAGGGGCGACGTCGCGAGCAGGGGCGACGCCGCGAGCAGGGGCGACGCCGTGGGCAGGGGCGACGCCGCGGGCTCGGGCGACGCCGTGGGCTGGGGCGACGCCGCGGGCAGGGGCAACGCCGCGGGCAGGGGCGACGCCGCTAGCAGGGGCGACGCCGCTAGCAGGGGCCGATAAGGGGCCGATAGGGGGGCACGAATGGGGCCGCTAAGGGGGCCGTGAAGGGGCCAAGAAGGGGCCGATAAGGGGGGCCGTGAAGGGGCCGCGAAGGGGCCGCTAGCGGGGGCGCGAAGGGGCCGATAAGGGGCCGCAAAGGGGCCATAGGGGGCCGCGAAGGGGCCGTTAGGGGGCCACGAAGGGGCCGCTAAGGGGCCGCGAAGGAGCCGCTAAGGGGCCGCGTAGGGGCCGCGAAGGCGTAGGTTTGGGCAGTGCGCAAGCGCGCTTCGGGCAGGTAAAGAAAAAAAAATAAACGTGGTGGGCCCTTAGGAAGAAACAGTCCCACTAGGGAACCTGCTCTGATACCATGTGAGAATTAACGAGAAGAATGATGAAACTAGAAAAGGAGATGGGTACAAGTGGGAAACACAAAGTGTTGTACCCTCTAAGAACTACCCCACTACAGCCTAAACAAACTATAGCATATATAAGTTTGACACTACACTACAGCTAGAACTACATGCAGGTATAAGAATATAATTCTGACATCCCCCCGTAACTGCATGCAGGAATAGCTAAGTGCAGAACACAACCTGCAGAGGTACACCACAGACAGAGAAAACAGCAACAGCAGATAAGGCAACAGAGCAGGTACAGCAGCAAAGGGGCAGGCACTCCTGCCACCCCTTTACTCTCCTCCCCCCCCCCCCCCCCACTTCAGGAGGGGCGGCTGGTTGGTCTCACACCCGCCACCCCAGTGCCACTCCCCTGGCTCCCCCACACCCGCACACCCTCCCCCCAGCGGCAGCTGCAGCAGTGGGAATAAAAGGAGGAGGAGGGGAAGGGAAACACACCACCCATCACCCCTACACCCGCCACCTCCATACCCTCCCCCCCCACGGCTGCACGCGCAGCAGGGAGAAGAAGGAGGAGGGGGGGGGGGGGGGGGGGGGGGGGGGTGGCGGGGAAGAAACCGCCCCACGGCCACAGAGGGGTGGCGCACAGGGAAGGGCAGGGGCGGCTGCACCGAGGGCAGGCGCGTAAAAGACAGGGGCGGCTGCACGAAGGCAGGCGCGAGGTGAGGCAGAGGCGCCGTCGCGGGCGCCAGGGGCGGGTCCGCGGCGGCTCAGGCCACCGTCACGGGCCACGGGGCGCACGACGGGCAGGCAGGGCACCGTCGCGCGCCACGGGGCGCACGACGGGCAGGCAGGGCACCGTCGCGCGCCTCGGGGCGCACGACGGGCAGGCAGGGCACCGTCGCGCGCCACGGGGCGCACGACGGGCAGGCAGGCAGGCAGGCAGAGCACCGTTGCGGGCCCCAGGGGCGGATCCGCGGCGGCTCAGGGCGCCGTCGCGGGCGCCAGGGGCGGGTCCGTGACTGGCAGAAAATACGTCACGCGCCACCCGGGCGCGGGACAGAACGAAAATCGCCACGCGCCCGAGGCGCGTGACCGGAAAAACAGCGGCGGAAGCGTGAGGCTGGCCCACAGGCCAGGACTTAACAGGCTCTAATACCATATTAGAATAGGAGGCTAAGTCAAGGCTAGGTTCAAGTGAGGGCCTAGGCTTAGTAGCCTAGGCCAAGGGAGTCGAGGTGGTTGTGCCAAGCAGAGAGGAGAATGGGAATGATGTTCACTATAGCACTAGGGTACATATAGCAAACAAAGAGGTGCACCACCTATAAAGTTAATATCTACACTACAGCTAGAACTACATGCAGGTATAAGAATATAATTCTGACAGGTTTCGGGATTAACGTGGCATGTTCTAACGTATCTTTTAGTCCATTGCAGAGTTCTTGGGGATTCCCTGGCACGTCAACAGGAGAGGCAGTCCGTTTTCGAGCCCTGCCTTCGTTAAGTGCGCTTTCCTGTGGGATTCGAGTGGCGCCTTGCCAATTGGTTTATTTCCTGTTCAGCTGCTTGTCATCCTTGCATCGGTAAGTTTAACATTAACACTTGATTTGCCTTTCACATTGTGCAATTTAACAAGTGTTGATGTTTGCTTTTGTTCTTCGTGCAAGTGAGGTTCAAGTTCTGCCATCCCGGTGCCACGAAGGCTCAGTTGGATCGGTCGGGGGATCCTGGTGCTCTTACCAGGCAGGCGCGGGTGGTACAGCGCTGGATCAACAGAAGTGATGTCACTCGCACGGACGACTGCCTTGGGATCGGCAAGGTCTGCATCGTTGGTTGGAAGGAGATTCCAGAGGAGGACCTGGTTGCAGACGAGCATGGTGACCTTGGTCTGGATGAGCTGGTGAGCGAGCCAAGCTCACAGGAGTAGGTTTATGACGAGAATGAAGAGCAGGAGGAGCTTTACGGGTGACCTGTAGTATCTGTGTGGTAGCTTAGGGCTGTTTTTTTAGGTGTAGATGCGTTTGTAACTAATGGTAGTTCTTGGACCTGTAGCCGTGTAAGCTTTTGACGTTTTTAGTGTATTGTCTTTTATGTGTTCTAATGTAGCGTTGTAGGCTGTATAGAATTTCTAAAAATTTCAGTAAATGTTGAAACATTATTTCTTTATTTTGCTACTGTGTCTATTGACATTAATGATTTCGGAACTCGTGTTCATCCTTCCTTAGTATCACATTTTAAATAATGGGCAAAAAAACATTTTATGATTAAATAAACGAGTCGGAAAGAATGATAACGAGTTTTCTCTTCTAAACGAGTGCGCGTTGGGATGTATTTGGACGGCCCGGCAGCCAATAGAAACAAAGTTTCAACAAATCGTCACGCGCCAGTTGTCCTATGCGTGTTCGCTCAAATTTCCCGAACCAACTCGGAGGGCTTGGGAGAAATTCTCTGCACCAGTCGATCTCTACTTGTCAAATGTATCAGAAACCAATTGCAATTCGCGGGAAAACGCCAGGAGTCGAAAACAAGACTCGACGTTGACGTCGGAAGGGTTGCGTAGAGCTGTATTCCGTGTATAAGGAACATTATGAAAGAGTACAATATAATCATATTTTGCTTAAAGAAGCAATTAATTAAGTTCTTCATTTTAACTTAAAACAGGACACCGTATATGGTGCTTCGTTCTGCGCTGGCAGAAATTGTATCGTTCTGCGGTGGCAGAAATTGTCTTGTTCTGCGCTGGCAGAAATTCTCATTCTGCGCTGGCAGAAATTTTATCTCTGCGCTGGCATCCGTCCCTTTCACAGCTGTCAACTCAATTTCTGCGCTCTTTTCTTGGTTCTTTTGTTCTGGTTCCTCTCGACTCGACAAGCACACCTGCTCTGCTCTTATTCCTCTTCCTTCCCCCCACCCCAATTTCTCGCCAGTTCTCCCACCCAGCCGTCGCTCTCGCTCCCATCCCGCCGTATCCTCTCCCTCACTACCCGCCTTCACCTCTCCTATTCACCTCACAGTCACTCAGTCCCACACCGCGATCTCCTCTTCCTTGCTTCCCCGTCGTCGCCTCTCCCTCCTCCCCGTCGTCGCCTCTCCCTCCTCCCCGTCGTCGCCTCTCCCTCCTCCCCGTCGTCGCCTCTCCCTCCTCCCCGTCGTCGCCTCTCCCTCCTCCCCGTCGTCGCATCTCCCTCCTCCCCGTCGTCGCCTCTCCCTCCCCGCCGTCGCCTCTCCCTCCTCCCCGCCGTCGCCTCTCCCTCCTCCCTGCCGTCGCCTCTCCCTCCTCCCCGCCGTCGCCTCTCCCTCCTCCCCGCCGTCGCCTCTCCATCCTCCCCGCCGTCGCCTCTCCCTCCTCCCCGCCGTCGCCTCTCCCTCCTCCCCGCCGTCGCCTCTCCCTCCTCCCCGCCGTCGCCTCTCCCTCCTCCCCGCCGTCGCCTCTCCCTCCTCCCCGCCGTCGCCTCTCCCTCCTCCCCGCCGTCGCCTCTCCATCCTCCCCGCCGTCGCCTCTCCCTCCTCCCCGCCGTCGCCTCTCCCTCCTTCCCGCCGTCGCCTCTCCCTCCTCCCCGTCGTCGCCTCTCCCTCCTCCCCGTCGTCGCCTCTCCCTCCTCCCCGTCGTCGCCTCTCCCTCCTCCCCGTCGTCGCCTCTCCCTCCTCCCCGTCGTCGCCTCTCCCTCCTCCCCGTCGTCGCATCTCCCTCCTCCCCGTCGTCGCCTCTCCCTCCCCGCCGTCGCCTCTCCCTCCTCCCCGCCGTCGCCTCTCCCTCCTCCCTGCCGTCGCCTCTCCCTCCTCCCCGCCGTCGCCTCTCCCTCCTCCCCGCCGTCGCCTCTCCATCCTCCCCGCCGTCGCCTCTCCCTCCTCCCCGCCGTCGCCTCTCCCTCCTCCCCGCCGTCGCCTCTCCCTCCTCCCCGCCGTCGCCTCTCCCTCCTCCCCGCCGTCGCCTCTCCCTCCTCCCCGCCGTCGCCTCTCCCTCCTCCCCGCCGTCGCCTCTCCATCCTCCCCGCCGTCGCCTCTCCCTCCTCCCCGCCGTCGCCTCTCCCTCCTTCCCGCCGTCGCCTCTCCCTCCTCCCCGTCGTCGCCTCTCCCTCCTCCCCGCCGTCGCCTCTCCCTCCTCCCCGTCGTCGCCTCTCCCTCCTCCCCGCCGTCGCCTCTCCCTCCTCCCCGCCGTCGCCGCTCCATCCTCCCCGCTGTCGCCGCTCCTTCCTCCCCGCCGTCGCCTCTCCCTCCTCCCCGCCGTCCCCTCTCCCTCCACGCGGTTGCCTCTCCCTCCTCCCCGCCGTCGCCGCTCCCTCCTCCCCGCCGTCGCCTCTCCCTCCTCCCCGCCGTCGCCTCTTCCTCCTCCCCGCCGTCGCCTCCGGCGACAGGTGCACGAGCGCAAGCGTGAGTTGGTGCGCGAGCGCAGATTGGTGCGCGAGCCCGGGTTGTTTTCTGAGTTACCGTGGTTATCTGGTGCGTTCCCGGTTCTTTCATCCTCCCTCCTCCCTCTGAAAAAACTTTCTTCTTCTTCTTCTTCTTTTGTTTGTTTGTTTTTTTGCTCTCCTCGTGAAAGAGCGCGTGAGAGAGCGCGTGACAGTGCGTGTTAGAGCCCGTGAGAGCGAGCGCGCCTGAGAGAGCGTGCGAGGGAGCGCGTGAGTGAGAGTGCGCGTGAGAGTGCGAATAAGAGATTGCGTGAGAGAGCGCGTGAGGGAGCGCGTGAGAGAGCGCGTGAGGGAGCGCGTGAGAGTGTGTGAGAGAGTGCGCGAGAGAGTGCGCGAGAGAGTGCACGAGAGAGCGCGTGAGAGTGCGCAAGAGAGAGCGCGCAAGAGTGTGTGCAAAAGAGCGCGTGGGAGAGTGCGCGCGATAGAGCGCGCGAGGTTGCGCATGAGGGAGCGCGTGAGAGAACGTGGGAGTTTGCGCGTGAATTTCTGTTGCGCTTACTTTGTTTTTTAGTGCATCAAGGAAGCTGAATTCTCTGATTTTGTTTTCTTGTGCTATTAATGCAAGTTGTATTCTCTGATTTTGTTCTTGTTTGTGCAGGGAGTGAGTTGCATTCCCTGATTTTTCTTTCCTGTGCAGGGAGTTCAAGCTGCAGCCTTTGTTTCTTGCGGAGAAAAGGGATGGGGAGAAGGGAGATGAGGGAAATGAGGGAGGGAGGGAGGGAGGGAGGGAGGGAGGGGAACGGGGGACAGGATAGTGATAATTTATACAAGGCTGAAATTCATTCATTATTCTTGCATGCTTATTACAGTAGCTGTATGTTTTTGCGTTGTGTGTCTCTGTATATGTGTGAGCCTGTATGTGTGTGAGTGTGTACATGTGCATATGTGTGTTGTGCGTGCTTCAGGGTGTGGTGCTAAGTGCCTCCTGAATGCAACTCGGATTGTGATTGTCGGTGGGGCAGCTTTGCTAGCCTCTTCCGTACCATATCAATCTCAGTTGCAGCAGTGATGCATTTAGCATTCGCTTTGAAACTTTCTTAAACGTTGTCTTGTGTTTTAGTAATCATTTATGTGTTATCGTCTGTGCTTGTTTTGGGGGTGTGGTGCTAAGTGTCTCGTGTATGCAACTGGGATTGTGATCGTCGGTGGGGCAGCTTTGCTCGCCTCTTCCGTACCATATCAGTCTCAGTTGTTGCATAGATGCATTTAGTATTCCCTTCAAAACATGTAAGACGGTTCTTGTACACCATCGTTTTTGTGGTCATTTGTGTATGTCTGTCTCTCGGTGGTACTGTTGTATTTTTTGTGTTGTCCTTTGTGTTCGTGTGTCATTGGGTACCGTATCATCTGTAGTGCTAAAACGATTCTCCAATTGTTCCATTCGCCGTACTTATCGACGATTATGGAATGATTGGAAACATTTGTTTTCATTTTTTTGGGGAAGCTATGTGAACAGTGATTTCTTTCAAAGTTTGTAAAAGAAATTCACTGTTCACATCAGCCAACCGAAAAGTGAAAACGAATGTATAAGGTTGCTACGCAACCCAACTACTCGGCAACAACTCGTTCCCAACAAGTTTCCCACACCCGCCAAATTAGCTTTTTTTTTTTTTTTTTTTTTTTTTTTTGGTGAGCATAAGTACACTACATGTATACATTCACTCGCAGTCGTAACTGATTCTAGGAGGGCATGCAAGTGGCTACAGGTAACCAGGCCCCCCCTTCCACTTTACGGGGGCTGAAAGGCTACACCGCCATCTTCCCATATGGCCTTGAAACCTGCTCTCCACATCATCGAGGCTTCGGTCTCGTACAATCTGTTCAAAGCTTTTGCCTCGTCAGCATTCAGATGACTTCACTCCCCTGTCCTCTTCGAACCACTCTTGCCAGCCGACCGTTTCCGCACTCTGCTGTAAATCTTCACGTGTCTTGTAAAGCCAACCGCTATGTGCCTCAGTGCTCTCTTAGGCTGAAACCGGCTGCCACGGAACACCGCATTGCACCTCTCCAGCCACACTTGCTGTGCTGTAATTGAAATGATGGCTGCTTCCGGAAAACCTGACGACGTGCCACTCTTCTGGAACAACATGTCTCCGAGGGACTTCATTTCCCTGCCCGGATTCATGCACTGTACCGCACCCTTCATTACCCTGATCACTGGCTGGATCGCCGGGCAGCTGAATAAACAGTGATCCTGCGACTCCACCCCTCCGCAGTACACACATTTCGCCCTCTCCCCCAGGAAAGGGAGCCTCTCCCCCACTTGCAGGTTGTTGCTGTGCAGCCTCAGCACCACCTCCCTCGCTCTGCATGGGGTTGCCAAAGAGTCCCGGACCGTGATGGCCTTCCCCCAATCGATTTTCTTCCCTGTCACCTCCTCCCACCGCAACTGCTGCTTTGGCTGAGACAAAGAGGGTTTCATCGCCTTCCTCAGCTGCTTCAGCCCGGCTCGCTCCCCTTTTTCACAGATCGGAGTGTATAGCAGCCTTGTTCTCGGGGTTCCAAGCGGGCCGCGGACTCTCCCGTCAATGACCGCCATGGGCGTAGCTCGTAGGCCCCTGACGCGGCCCTTACGCGGCCCCTGACGCGGCCCCTACGCGGCCCCTACGCCACCCCTGCCGCGGCCCGACCCAGCCCCGTCCCTGACGCGGCCCCTACGCTGCCCCTGACGCGGCCCCTACGCGGCCCCTGACGCGGCCCCTGACGCGGCCCCTACGCGGCCCCTGCGCGGCCCCTGACACGGCCCCTGACACGGCCCCTGACGCGGCCCCTACGCGGCCCCTACGCGGCCCCTGACACGGCCCCTACGCGGCCCCTGACGCGGCCCCTGAAGCGGCCCCTACGCCGCCCCTGACGTGGCCCCTACTCTGCCCCTGACGCGGCCCCTACGCCGCCCCTACGCGGCCCGGCCCGGCCCCGTCCCTGACGCGGCCCCTACGCGGCCCCTCCGCCGCCCCTACGCGGCCCCTACGCCGCCCCTAACGGGCCCCGTCCTGGTCCTGCCCCGGCCCCGACCCCGTCCCGGACCTGCCCCGGCCCCGACCCTGTCCCGGCCCCGTTGCTGCCCTGTCCCGGACCCTGCTCGGCCCCGAGAGTACCCCGGTCGACTCGAAGCCCTTAACCTCCTTCATCACAGCCGGGCCGAGTAGCTCCCAGTGGTGCTCAAAAAATTCCTTCGGTAGGCCGTCTTGCCCCGGGGCTTTCCCCAATGGTAGACCCTTGAGCGCCGCTTTCACCTCCTCTTCTGACCATTCCGCTCCTAGTTGCAGTTGGTCCTTCTCCTGCAGCATTCTGCTCTCATCTATTGGCCACGGCTCCATGGTATGGTTTGGCGCTGACTCCGCATACGCTTCTCTGAAATGCTCTGAAGCCGCCTGCAACACCTCTTTCGCCCCTTTCCTTTGCACCCCCTTGAGTACTAACTCCAGAATCTCCGTCTTTGCCTTTCTCGATTTGACCAGCCCCGACAGAAAACCGGAGGGCGTCTCGCTCGCCAACTCCATCAGCAGCCCCGTCATGACCTGCAGCCGCTCCTTGTTACTGTCTTGATAGAGTTTGAGCGCTGCTTCAGCCTTGACCAGCTCCTCGTACAAGACTTGCGATTTCGCGTCAGCCATCACTTTCCACCGCATCTCTTCCACCTTCTGCTCCAAATGTGCCAAGGTCGCTCTCACCCTCTTCCTCTCTTCTGCTACATGAGCCCGCATGCATGCTCGCAGGTTCATCACAAGTCTCTCCAGGCTTTGATCTGAGCTGCTCTCATGCGCCGCCACCGCCGCTGAGATGATGTTCTTGACCCCATCACCCCCGGGCCGAGACGTTTGGTGCCTCCACAAGCCAGGACCATGATCATCCGCTGCCGCCGCCTTGAGCGACACCTTCACCGCAAACCAGTGGTCGGTCAGACCGTAGGGTACCATACAATGCTTCGCCTCCGTTACACTTCCGAGCAGGGAGAGTGAAACTAATGCCCTGTCAATCCGTGTGCTCGTCCTTGCAGATCTGGAGAAAAAAGTAAATTCCTTGCGCGTCGGGTGAAGACTCCGGAATGCATCCTGCAGATCCCATCTCGAGCAAATCTGCAGAAGTTTCTGGTTCTCCGCCGGAGTCCCCAGCTTCAATGACTTATCCAGCTCCGGATCTGCTACAACATTCAGGTCTCCTATGAGGACTGTATGGGGGGAGGCGTCCAGGCTTTGTACGAAGGGGGATAGCTCATCCCGGAAGAAGATACCCCTAGCGGTTGCCTGCGCCGGTAGATACGCTGCCACTATTCTGCACTTCAGATCCCGCCAGGATACCAGCAGGCTCAAGAGTCGACCAGATGCATGTTTGCTGACTTCTGTGAACCGCATCCCAGGCAGGAAGCCTAAGACCGCTACCCCTCCTGCTCTCTGCGATGGGCCAACCACCGCCTGAGCCTCTGATCTAATTTGCGTCCAGAAATTGTGATCGGCTGGAACACGCGTATCTGTGAGTACTACAATGCTCGCTGCTTTCCTGATCCATGCTGCACACCGTTCTTGTTTCCTGCTGCTACCGAGCCCGTTGATGTTGAGCTCGAGAATAGTTAGGTTGTTGTGCTTATTCATTTGACCACTCCTTTGAGCCCCACAGCATCCACGGGCGATTGAGTTTTATTGCGACGATACAGCCAGCTACAGCGAAAGAGAGCATGGCACCGACTACACAACCTGCTCCCAGAAACCATCCTGTTGCCTCCCCCCCTCTCATCGAGGTGCACGTGACCAGGCCGCTGTTCACTTCGCTGACTGCTTGACAATGAAGTCCTTCTTGAAAGCAGCCATCTTCTGGGAATGCTTGCTGGCGCGGGTTGCCGCTCCTTCCGTTCGCAGACCCCCCTTGTGCTTGGCAGATGCAACGTGAGCCGTTGCTTGTTCGAACCGGTTCCCCTGTGCCTTCTCGCACACGGTCTGCACACACACCCACTCCTCCCGCATCCCTC